TTCTTATCTTTAAATTGTCGATGCAACAATAATCAGCAGCCAATAAAGCTTAATACAGTTTAATTGTCATGAAAAGTATTATCAAATGAAAATTGCATACATAAAAGTACTTCTTTGCACTGAATGACAGTTTGGGCCGTTTTAGGTACAGGTACGGTAGCCAGTGGTACGTATGGAGAATATCTGCCGAACTCTTGTAATATAATAGCACAGCTATCTTGCAAACAGCATTGCCAGCTTTAGGATGCCTACTTGTAAAATTAGAATCTGTTATATTTGCCTAATTCTTAAAAATTAAATTTACATTTTCCAATATCACAAATATATACGCTAACTCACCATAAACTGTGATGACATTACTTTATCCATTTTTTCAGGATATTGAATTTTGAGAAGTTGTCTTGAGAGATAATAAAGCTATGAAGATTGATAGGAGGAAAACAAAGATATCACGTACTTTTTAGTAGAAATACCATCCCGGAAATTGGTTAAGTAGTCATAACGATGGATGCAATATCTTTTCGTTAACACTGAAGTACAGTATAAATGTAACCCTGGTTTTAGTCAATCGTTATATGGGTACTAATGTTTTACGTTAAAGACATCAAAGGTTATATGAGCGATAGATCAGATCTTGTACAATATGAAAGTTCGTAAAAATGGCCTGATGGGACGAAAGTATACCATCATGTTAAGACCAAACCTAGCATGTGTGTTTCGAATAAAATGTTTGAAAAATAGGGTGGGTCGTACGGGACTCTTTATTTATTTTTCTTATTGGGGAGGGGGTCTTAATTAATTAATTACAAAAGTTAGTTATTCAGACCGATTGATTGTATTTTTTTTTCATTATATTTTAGGTCTTTAAAAATTAATATGGGATTTAAATTTAGTTTTGATACCTGTCTATGAAACGATTTTCGGCGCGTTCGAATGAGACAAAATTGTTAGGTCCGAGGTAAAAACTAGAGTTGGTCGGGGTACCTGAAACATACGTCTTTCTTGGCCTTACGTGATAACTATACATTAGAAATAAGTTCACACTTTTATAAGAAATATTTTATCAGTAAACAAAGAGCGCCATTATTGTGATAAAGATTTCTAGAAACGATTTTTATCATGGTGCAGATCATATCAAATTTACTTGACATTTTCGTGGGTTTTTTCTCCCTATGTTTTTGCAAACACCAAATATTTCTTATGAACTACATGATAAAACAGAACATCTTTATTCCGTTATCGCCAGACTTAAGACATTCTGTAAGACGAATGTGCTTCACCAGACATCTACACACAAAATGTATATCTGTTAAACGTCGGATCTGGTATTCAAGTACATGTACATTGAGGTCCAATATACATTTAAAATTTTATTTCATACTTCTAAAACACGTCTCAATTTCATTTCACTGAGACGGGCAAAACTGAAACGGCTGGACTTCGTGTGAAATTAAAACGGATAGAATTTTTCATTTAGTATCTAAACTTTTTCTTCGGATATTGCGAAAAGCACACTTTTCAAGACTGTTGCAAGAACATTTATTATTCTTTGAGTCTTGAATTCTGCAATCATATATTTACATTTCCGCTGCAAGTCCCTATACAAACCCTGAACAAATATTGCATTCATGGTGCTATGAACGGAATTTGATTGATGTCATCTTGACGCTTCTCCTTCCACCTAGCATAGAATGCAAATATTTAGATGACGCGCGGCTGTTCCATTAATATCGTTTGCACTGACGGTACATATTTGTTTATGACGTGAATATTATATGTAAAGAATACTTACATTCATGGAACAGCCGAGCGTCATCAAAATGTTTGCTTCCTATACAAATAATATGTACAGATTGCGTTTCATGTGTACAGATTGTGTTAAAGCTACCTGTTGTTAACTTGTCAGAACTTATTATGTACCACTACCATACTGCAAACATTGGGAATGTATGCAGCACAAAGACAAGAATGCCTATTGCAAAAAATAAAGACATATATTTCATAGATATTGTATGTAACTATCAATTTGGAATGTAAATGTATGCATTGCATTGAGTAATTCTTGAACATTTATGCTGGTATGAATGCATAACTAAAGCTGAAGCAATATGGATGCTGAATTGATTGTTTGCTTGGTTTTTTGACTGTGTATTTGTTTGTAATCCGAACAGCAGCCAGTGTTAGACGAATGGCGACACCTCCGAAGATGTAAAGAATAGGAAAAAGAGAAAAAGAGAAAATACCGACACACACAAAAACCGGAAAGAGAGAGAAGTAACTAATAGCATCAAGCCATTAACTGATACCAGAACAGATATAGCACTGCCAGGAAGGTTTTTCAGGTGATTCATCCTTCCTCAGCATGCATGTCTGACAGACAAGAGAAAAAGATGTGCGTGTTGCTAAAAATAGTTCAAATAGCGATCGAGGGAGTTCTCTACCACTCCGCCGATCTATATCTATGTACAACAGATGACCTTTTAACCTTTCGAACTTTATATAAAAAAACAGATGTGCATGTGGAAATTGGTGTAAAAAGAATATGGTTTATTTCTACCTTAACTAATCAATCGTCAGAAACTGCTTCAACAGAAACTGTCGAGGAGACGGGGTCTGTTCTAATAGGGTATATAGTTTTGTATTGTACTACAACGCATTGTTTATAAAGAACAACAGATTTTCAAAATATTAGCGAAAAGGAACACTACAATTGTTTCATAAATACAAATTATATTCATCTTGAAAACATGGCATGAATAAGGTTTATGCTTTCAGGGACGTAGCTAGCCCTTGTTGTGAGTGGGTTCATTTAGGAGTAGGTCCAGGGCAGGGTCTTGGTAGGGGACAAGGGGATACAAAAATCAGTGCTTTGTTATGTGTTTGGTGGATTCAGCTAAGCTAGGCTTAAAGGCGAAGTAAAACCAATGTTACTATACAAATACAAATTCGATTACATTTTCATGTGTTAATTGGGACATAGATAATCAACACATGTTTGTATGTTATGGTAAATTATTTACCTCGAAAGAACAAAGAGTTAGAACACAACATATTCTCGGCCCTGTAACACCGTATATATTGCACCATAATACAATCACAAATGTTTATTGTTTTTTAAATAATAGTGTATATACTCACCATGTAGGTTAGGTGACAACGTTTGTTTGTTTATTTGATTGAGGATTTTAAGACCTCGTGACAGCTATGATATTATGCTTATGAACGATGGGGTCACTTTAAAGTGACATATCATAGAAATGTAGTAATTTGATAAGACAGCCTGACACTCCAACCAGTTATATGATTCAAATATAGAGGTGTCTAAAGTGAAAGTAGCCGAAAGAAAGTAGTCGATAAGAGAAAGAGAAAAGGAAAGGGGACGAAAGTAGACGGAAGTAGACGGAAGTGGACATTGTTACATATATTAAACCGTATAGGGTAAGGTAACCGGCATGTAGTTACAAGTAAGTTTGCCTTAATTATATGATTAAATGTTAAAAGTATATATATAGGTTGCGTATTTCTAAACATTTTCAGGTCAGTACTTATGGATCATATAGCACAACCAGTGACTATTTATGTGTGATTATGTATATATATTTATATCGTGTTGGGATTTTTTTGTAATCAGATGTGACAAACAGTGCTCGAATTATCAGGACAATACGCAGTATACACGTCAACACAACTAGCTATCAAACGAAAAAGTTCCGGAATGTGTGGAATCCTGTGTACACGTACGTGTACAGCACGTAAAACTCATCAAAACATTGTCAAGTATGTCCAAAGAAATTCGCCATCTTGTCATTTCCTTTTCCCCCCCTCCAGATCGGTCAGGTCGGTGACTCAATTTGGCAAGCACGTAAGAGCGCGTTAACGCGTGCATAAACAATGTACATATGTTGGACGAGATGATATAGGAAGTCATTAATTTGCACGTGCTTGTTTGTATATATGTATACACCTATATCTAGCAGACGCTTGGTGTTTTTACTTCCTGTTTCCCCTCAGACGCCATCAGAAACATACTTCATGGCAAAATACAGCTCACAATAACACAAAGAAGAAAGAAAACACAGTTGTTTATGCAATTAAGTGCATATCATAAGAGGAAGGAAAATCAATAATTTATCGAAAACAATCTTTAAACCATTAGAAAATTACCGAACAGACTAATAAAAAAAATATAAGGTCTGACAGGGTCAGGCGGTAGACTCGAGGTATAGATAACACATTGTTTGGAATAGGTTTAGTGAAATCTTTTGAAACTAAGGGTAAACTTTTGTATTAAGAAGGTTCCGATTTCTTAGACACACACACACACACAAATCCATCCCACCCTTGTCTCTTTTTTCCAACTCCCTCATTTCTTTTTAAACTAAAATTTCTACAACCGTCATAAGCCTAGTTATCCGAAAGAAAAGTCTTGTTTTCTTTTCTCTTCTCTTCTCTTCTTTCTGCAACCGTTCCCACTGAACAACGTTTCAATGTGATTTCTATTGTTCTATATTTAAGTACATGAATTGACAAAATTAGCGTTTACGTCAACCTTTAAATTGGATTAACATTGTTTCGACCGAACAAAGAATATAAAACAATGTTAATATCAAAACTACATTAACAAGTTGTCTTACACTTTGAAAACGACATCCGGTAAAATTATGTGGAATAATAAATAACTCAATATTTAAAATATTATAATTAACACTAAAATTGGCGTAGGTATACAGTATTTCCGTAATTTTAGAACCCAATCAAACAAAATCATCAATAATATTTGTTTAACTTTACAACGCACCATAACAAAGTACCGGAGGTTCAATATAGTATAATATAACGCAAGAAGCTACCGATACATAATAAGTAATTAATAATCAGAGAGAAAATATGAATCTAAATAACAATGGGATTTAAAAACTAGTATACATACGAATCGATAAATCTATATTCCTTGATTGATTATTGATGCAAATGAACGTCGGAAACAAAAGCTGACTTACCGGTTCCAGTAGGTGTGTGAATGTTCAACTATGGGGAAGTATGGGTGCTGGACCTAATGTTATTGCGCAGCATTTTTTGCACACGATACCAAACTGTTAACTCACTTTCCAAACTCCTACAATTTTTTTCTTATTTTGCACACCACCCCAACTCTCATCGTTATTCGAGACATAAATGGGAGTATGACGTGAGTTTTCGTATTGTTGTACGATTTTGTCCTGTATCTCGGTCAGGAGGCCCTTTCTCTCCCTACTGGGCAGATTTGGCGGTCATGTGGAGTGACCAATAACAAATGTTTGACCAGTGTCATTGGGTCGTAATTAGGACCAGAGGATGTCGTTAGATTTTGAGATTGGAGTTTGTAATCTCATTACAAGTTACGCACGCTGTCCGACCCGTTTAAAGCGAACATGCGTGCTGCTCTCGTGCCTTAGGGCATGAATCAGCACGGTAGCAAGCATGTGTAAACAAAACCCCACACGTGTGTTAAAATGTATCAAATACTGTTATCTCTTATCAGTCCTGTTCACATGGTTTAGACATGCTATCCACGTCAGAAACTAGCAGACTTTACATTTCATCTGCTCAATCTTACCGCATACATTGCCATGGTATCCGACAGTTGTGTTTAATGGTGTATAAACAAGGTGTTCATATCTTCACTGTACATGTGCCATGCAAAAAATTCATCAGACATATCGCAAGTAAAAGAAACTTATTATTGACTGTTTACTGTGTAATATTATCTGGCTGAGAATACAAAGAAAACTACAAAACAGTTACATTGATAGATACACTGTTGGTGTCTTTGTGAACCACTTTCATATAAATTATAAAAAAACAATCAAACAAAACATACATACTTATTATTAATTAGCCTGTGAAGTATTATTGTTGTATAAACAATGGCATTTCTGTAGATCAGATCTTCTAAAAATAATTTCTCTGCCACTCAAATATTTATAAATAGAACGCCAGTTGCGAGGTTATCTTTATGCTCCTGAGATAGAAACTACATTTCATGTGTACGGAAATATCGCGGCCGGGTTGTTAGCCCAAAGCCTCCATTTTTAAGTAGTATGTCCGACATGAGTATATATGCGGTATTAAATATTGTCTATTTCGGTATACTTAAAAGAGATATACTGATAAAATGTTTCTAAAAATAAAACATGACATCACTTCTGCAGGAAACAAACAAAAACATTGTCTGTCTACCACACAGAAACCCAACTAATATGATACGCCTCCCGACGTAGCGAATCTCTATAAGGTCATTTTGTGAGGCATGAGCGACGTTTGCGTTAACCTCCGCTTTGTACTTCCGGTACAAGAGGGGCGTGTCTTTCTGTGAGGAAAACAGACATAGTTAGTTGTAAAAAAAGAGAGTAAGATAATTGGGTAAATTGTTGCCGGTGTTATACACTATAGCTGTAGGGATTCACTGCAGAATACCTCCGAGTGTGCTCACTGCACGTGTACGAGAAAAACACGTGTCTATACACAAACAGGATTTCATACTATCTCCCAGCTGACATTAATCGTTTAAACCCTATCTATACCAAGCTCAAAAATACTATGTGAAATATATGTCATTCATCAGCTAATTTTATTTTGTGTAAAATGGTGAATTTAAACCTGTCAGTCAGGCTTGGAGCGACTGTAACTGTGTACACGTATCATTGTAATGTATTGTAGTATTTGTATGTTATTGTGTGTCTACTCTCCGATATGTCTTACAATAGGAAAAAAATAATCTTAATCTGACCAAATATCACTTTCAATGTCATGCTTTAATTGATTTCAACAATGGACACATTGATAAATTTGACAAATGTTAAATACAATAAGAAAATAGGACAGGCCTAGGGGTGGTCAGATTTTCAAAATAAGCGTTTTACTTATTATATAAATGTAAACAGAAATTTATAGAAGAGAAGACAAATATTTTAGAAATACTCCTTATTTAATCCACAAATATAAGGACTGCATGGTCTTCCCTCTCTTGTCCCTCCCCTATCCCATTTCCTCTCACTACATGTATAATAGAAAATTTGTAATTCCTAGTTAAACTATTTCTTTCTGAATTGTATGTTGTCCGTTTATTTTGACTTGCCATCTATAGATAAAGGATTAATATAACCTTCATTAGTTTGTTTCGGGATTTTACTTCTTCTTGTAAAATTGTTTGAATCGAAATACAGTTTGTTATTAATAAAGAAATAAAGTTTACATTACAATTATGTTTCAAGTATTTTATATGTATAGCGCACGCATAGATTTTTGCAGTTAAAAAGTAAGTGTAAATGACGTCACTATCGAAAAATCCGACTGTATCAATTACTTCCATGCAGTTTAAATAAATCGATTGAAGATCTTAACAGCAGCTGGACTAACATGTATTCATGAATTGTAGAGTATATTTTTATTTTTAATTGCCATTAATATTTCTGAGATCTATGTCAGATCAATGCTTGGCAAATCCATGGTCAGTTAAGATTTGATATAAATCGCAAAACGACACATGCTGTATACCCAGGGACGTATAATGGAGCTCTATACACTGTCCCTGGTATACCATAGGTGTTTTATTGTGTTGGAGCAAAACCGTTCACAGTTTTAACTTCTCTTGTTCCCTCGTCTATAACCAAGTGTTCCATATACAGTAAAACCCCGGTGAGGATTATTGTATGCGTTTCCCTCATTTTGTTGTCAAACCCCTTTATAACGCAAAAATTTCTCTGGACAAATAGTGGCAGTATAACGAGTTTTTTTTTTAATGTTAAAGCATGGCTTCTGATAAGTGCGCGGTATCTCACATGTATGCAGAGTAATTTCACTTATATTACCGTTTATTATTTTTTTCTTGGCAAATGTTTTACCTTAAACGAAGTATGTAATGCAAGGTATTTTCAGGTGAGTTCGTATCAACCTCTTCGACGGAAAAGAGCAATGCCAAAATTGAATGTTTGGCCTCAAAAGTGTTCCGTACTAAAACACGTGTAAATATCTTTTCGTTAATGAGAGAATTATTTAATGTTCGAGCTCGCTATCAAGTGTCAGACATTAGTACGTACTGAAATAGGTTTCCTTTGGCTTGTATTGTATATTGTTTTAAGCGGATGCATGCGTGCTCTCTTTTAAAATGTCTTGGATGCAACCGGAAATTACTTTTCAGTTTTAACACACGTTTGAGTGTCAAAGAAAAATAAAATAAATGTTCTAATGAAGAACTAAATTATGATTAAATTCATGTCTTAAGCACGTAGATACGGTGTAGAAGTTTTGTTTATATAACTTTAGTCGTGCCCTCAGAATTATTATCTTACGGGAAAAAGAAGTCAATATTGTCTTTTGTAGCTTCCGGGCTAGCTAGACATAGGTCAAGGTCGATGTAATGAAACAGGATTTTATGGGGGGACGCATAGAGAAAGAATATACATATATGTACGTTTTAATATAGCTTGCATATATACCTAAAATTATAGCAATTGCTATATGACGTCAAGAATGCGTTAATATTCCTGCGAAATGTAAATATGGCCTTGACCTAGACGTAAAACGGTGAAACATTCACACAAAAATGAATAATTTAATTTAAATTAAAATCAGCTTAAACAAAAGAAAGGTTAACATGAAGACACTTTAAAAAGAACAATGAACATAAGAACAGGCAGGTCGGATAGTAAAGCGTCCTCTGCTTCATCGACCGTGAAACCCTTGTAGGCCAAATCAAAATAATGTCACGTCGTCAAAGCGAAAACCGCGGTAGTGACAGCAAAACAACAAGGCACTCTTATGAATATAATCTAAACACCGACCTCCATACATATATCGCACAAGGAAATATAATATATACCAACGAATATTTATGTAAGCGACTATAAAACTTCATCAACCTGCATCTCTTGAAGCTTCGTTCTGTGTCATCTTCGCCGATAAAGAGTTGTCTCCCCTTGTTATTGTCCTGGCGGGAATCTGACAGAGGTCGGGACCAGGCATGCTTTTTCCTGTCTACAAGTTGTCGATTTGTGAAAGGAACGTCTTTTGATGAAGAGTAACCACATTGCTGGTTCGAGTGCCTCGGTAGCCGTGATCGCTAACGCGCACAGTCATTGAACTACTGTGTGCTATCAAGAATTTAGGTTCGATCCCCACAGCGGTGTCGGAAAAAGAGAGAGTGTTGTCTGATAGGGTTAGTTGTTATCCCTCCGATGGCACGGTGGTTTCCCCCCGTGGGTTTTCCTCCACCACGAAAACACCATTTGTTCCCTTAGAGCCATCGTAGTAAGAGCTCTACAGAGCTTGTGTTTGTTGTTGACAATTGTACACGACGTTAAATAAAGATTATAATTATTATTATTTTAAGATCCTGTTTAGGTTTCTGACACATTTATGTATTATACATGTTGTTAATATAAAGTCTGAAAAAAACAAAAAAAATGTTTTTTGTAATTTATTTTAAAATATGCGCGGGGAAGCATCGTAAACCAGGATGACAGTTGTCAAAATCTGAAACAAAGTTAAATTAATTAATTAGTCAAACATGGCTTTATTGACCTCAGACATAATAATTACTTTGGACAGAATCACAAATAGTCTGTTTACAAAGTGGTCATCAGTTTAAAGGGTCTGGGCGTCACAATCAGTCACTTTGTATGGTGTAACATCAGAAATGTATAAAAATATTAATTTGTGGTTAAATTAAGGATCTTATTATACAGTTACCTCCCTTCAATTTCAATTTAAAAATAACTGTGGTTAGGTTTGTCAAATATTCCGTCAGTTGTCCAGATGGCTCAGTCGGTTAATGCGATAGTATAATAATCTGGAGTCCAGGGTTCGAATCAGGGTCTAGCCTCTCTGAATTTTTACACTCATTGCCTTTCATAACAGAATCCGGAGTCGTACATGAAGAGGAATGTTTGTACCATGACATTGAGATTGTAAACATGTAACCGAGATCAAGGTAAAACAAAACCGATCGAGTATAGTCGAGTAATGCAAATACTGAACATAACAGGGTCACAAAACATGAACAACAATTTAACTGAGGCATTCAAAATATATTATTAGCTTACACAGTCATTTACATATATATTTTCGCACTCCCTGTGCGTAACAATCAGCGGAAATACATGAAAACACATAATTAATTATATAAGGAACCCGGAAACCGGACAAAATTTCCCAGTTCATTTTTATCAACCCATCTCCAAACAACCCACGAATGATGTATGCATGCCTGAGTTATAAAATGTATACCAAAAATGTACACCTTCATTTTACCTGTCCATCTGCACTGTATTTTTCGTTTTGTAGAGTAATCTCCCTTTGATTTGTTTTGGATATACCGGTAACACCATAAGGCCAGGACGCTTCCATTTGCCAGGTTGTTATGCCAGTTAATTAAGGGATAGTTTAATCATCTTAAGTCCATGGTCCGAATCCTTGTCTAGCCCCGCTTATTTTTACATTAAGAACACTGTTGTTGATTATATATTGTTTATTTCATATTTATTGGTATTTTCTTCATAAAATTCCTGCAATGTGTGATTTCTTTTCAGAAGTGATTTAATAAAGTTATAGCACGGACTTAGATAACATTCTAATTCCGTGGTTATAGCAATACAGGAAAAAAAATGGTTTTCATTGCAAAATTACAAAATGTTTGGCAGTGGTACCCGGAGATCCTTAAACTGCATGTTGTATCAGTGTCACACTGATGGGTATATAGCTATTTCAACAATATTAGCACGGACTTAGATAACAAATATAATTCCGTGATATTAGTATATATATTATGGGACCGCGATGGCCGAGTGGTTATAGTCTCGTTCAACCAGACGCTTGATCAATTGTTATTCAACAAGAGTCTGGTTGAACGAGACTAGAGTGGTTAAGGCGTCTGACCGGATACGATGATCACTAGTCCTCAACGACTGGGTCGTGGGATCGAGGACTGCGTGAGACAGTCGCCCGGTACTGGCCGTAGGTCGGTGTTTGTTTTAAATGGCCATAGCTGTTGATAGTACTAAAACACAAACAAATAAACATTTCTTGCATTGTTTACCTTTAGTAGACGATATTTGTACAGGTGAGACAACACTCCCCATGGTAAGTATAGTGAGAACAGAATCGCTCGTCGTCTCCCTCGTACAGTTTCCTCATTTCCTCACAAGTCTGCCAGCCGAACCTCATGTCCATACATTTTGTCTTTATCACGTCATCTGAACGTTTCTGATCTAAAAATACAATATACATTTTCTTATTGTGACATGTATACAATGAAGCTGGTATACAATGTAACATTTTTTACAAATATTTTTATCGTACTTTCTTGGATTTAAATCATGTAGAACATTTGATCAGGTGGCATAGTCGACATCGCATTTACTTTCAGTATTAAGGCTACTGAGCTAAATACGTTTATTTTCGTATTTTCATACATTTTACATATATTTGACTCTAAATAATTGAGGGAAATGACAAATTGATACGTGAAAATTACTTATTTAACTAAAATGTACAACTGACGTTATTTCGCCTTAAACTTCTCTTCGTTTTCTTATTTCGTTTCGTTATTTTTTGCAGCGAATAAAAAGAAATGGCACAGATAGGCCACCATCTAAAAACACTAGAAAGTCGTGAAACTTGAATCAGTGCTTGTAACATAAGTTATATCGTGTATCGATCAGGCTACAAAGAATTCGACATACTGTAGATAAATAAAGATAGGTAAATATGAAAAATGACATCGGGTTTGTATATCATATCGGTAGATTTAAAGGTCATCGAGAGACGAAGTGAAAGGTAAACATGTTGATACACATGAACAGGGATTTTCTTTTTCTATTTTGTTATAAGGCCGCTCGAAATATACGTATAGTGTATATAATATATGTATATATATGATATCATCTCGAGAGACCTCTGGGCCCGTATTCCTTAACCGTTCTCATGCTCAAGCATGAAGTATGTGCTCTAACCAATTTTCTTGTAAATCACTTAAATCATGTCAAATTATCAAAAAGTTAAATATAAACAAAAGGATATTGAATATTAAGTTTGTCCAGTTTTCATGAAACCGTTCTCACGCTCAATCTTGGATTTTGTGCTCAATCCAACTGTCCCGAAGCTTGCATTACACATGTAACGCGGCTATAAAAGTCAAGTCTAGATATTGAAACAGTATCCGGTTATAAGTCTGTCGAAAATTCTTCTGAATCATTAACGAAATGTAAATTACTATAACTTTATCACCGGAATATGAAACCGGGCTTGAGCACAAAGTCCGAGTTTGAGCATAGGAAGATTTTTATGAATACTGGCCTTGGTTTCTATGTATTACTTGCATTTAATTCTTAATAAATATTAGATGCATTTTTACATGGAATGTTATATTTTTGACATATTTTATACGTGTATAAAATGTAAATAATATTTATAATAAATGTATGACCATTCAATATTTGCGCATCTCAGTATAAGAACACATATATGATGGTCTTAATAAGTAAAAGCATTGATTACTTGAAACTGCCATAGCAATAACTAATGTTTTCAACATCTAGGTATATTCGAAATAAGTTGAAAGAGCACATGGTTTATGAAGATTTTTGCTGCAATTTTTAGTTAACATGAAAATAAACTTTGATAGGGAGTTTTAAAAGATTGGGCCTCTTTACACGGAGGGCCTCATGAGAAGATCCCACGGTAATAGAAAATGATGCTATCGAGTAAAGTATTACGTATTACGGTATAAATATTGATGTTTACACACATGATTCACCAGTACATCTATTTTAAACGTAGATGCATGTTTCCCCACATTATAACCAACATGCAGAGACGTGCTTTCTACCTACTTACCTGTATGTCTACCTACTTACCTATATATCTATCTACTTACCTGTATGTCTACCCGCGCATCCGACAATGAACATCAAGAAAAAGAACAGAGTCACTCCCATGTTGAACCTCAGCCGCTGTATCAACCGTAAATGTTGGCCTGGCCGAGTTTTATGATATATAGTGATGGCTATTACGTGATCAGGCTTGAGGCGACAGCTGATGGGTATAGGTGATAGTTAACCTAGATATTTCAGATTAGTGTCACCTGCTGTATCATCACCATCATGTTCGTTGTCGTACGATCGTCGTGACGTCGACGAGGACGAAGACGATGATGATGATAACGACGATGACGACGTCGACGATGATCTCCACTGATGAAGCCAGGCTTCTTATATGTGTGGTGATGATGATGACGACGAAGACGACGAAGAACACGAAGATGAAGACGACGATGATGATGATGATGATGATGATGATGATGATGATGATGATGATGATGATGATGATGATGATGATGATGATGATGGTGATGGTGGTGGTGATGATGATGATAGGCTTGTGCCGTGTTTATCACAAACCTCGACTTGATATAATGCCTCTCGTTTCATTTGCCACATCGTGTACCGCCGACATCTTTTCCGATTCTTTTGTTTTTCCTCTAAGAATTCCTTTATATATTTTCCTTAATTCATCGCCAAACCCCTTTAAAACGCCAATATTTCTCTGGACAAATGGTGGCAGTATAACGAGGTTTTACTGCACAATTTATGCATGGATGCATATTTTCCCAGGAACACAAATTGAAGTAGTTTTGGTAGAGGATGAAATATATAACAATCTGTAACAAGGCAATATTCTCTGTTTTTGTGATTCCCGAATCCCGAATATTTATTAAGATATACAGGAAGACATCGCGGCCTAATAAAAATTGCCAAGTTCAGATTAATGAATAACATTGGATCAAGAAATGACGCTTGGCGAACACCGGTAATGATGTAAAAAGTAAAAAAATCAACAACTACAAACTGTTACTGTGAGTAAATAGTTTTGAAAGTCCATTTCGCCGATACCAGCAGGCATATAGTCAAGATATTTGACCAATAGCTCAATAAGGATAAGTAATATTACAGTACATTACATATAAAAAATGTTCTGACATTCTTTCATACATGTAGTTATGCATTTTGGGGCGCTGCTGTTCTCTAATGATTTTCTTTTAAATTCAGAATTATACTACACTATGATAACTCATCAATATTATCGTGCCAGTAAAATGATGCTGAAGATATCGTTGCCGTCAATATTTACCACCTGTCATGATGTGTATCCATTCTCGTGGTCGACATACGTTCGTGTATACATTAATTAGTCGCTACATAACTGTTATCTCTACTTAAATCAACCACGCTAATTAAATGAGGTATGTGTGTCAATCACGACTCCTATGATTGCCATTTAGATACAACCCTTAGGTGCCCCTAGCTCTGACCGAGTAAGTCATTTTCACAAAAGAAAAACATGGATATCATTTAATACATAGAGATATGTAAATCACGAATACTATGATCGTTATTTAGTTTTGACACAGCCCATATACTAACTTTGTGGGTGCTTGCTTGCTTTGACTGAGTAAGTGATTTTCACCAAAGAAAAAGCATAACAGGATATCCTTCAATATGCAATCACGAAAACTTTGATCGTTATTTAGTTCTGACCAAGCCCCTAGGTGATGGCTAGCTCTGACTGAGTAAGTCATTTTCAAAAAAGACAAGGCATGATAGGAGATCCTGTAATACGTCGTTATATGCAATCACTAACACTATGGACGTTATTTAGTTCTGACCAAGCCCCTAGGTACTGGTCTGGGGTGGATAATGCGGTATCTGTGATGTAAATACATTCAAGTGAGGTGGCACTATAAAAGATGCCGTTGGAAGCACGGTCCTACTACAAACAGAACACAATACATCTCCAGCAAACACGCAGGAATACACACATAGGGAGATATTAGCCAGGTGGCATAGGACTAGTACGTAGTTAGCGCCTGATAAGGCAGCTCCTGCGTATTCCTCAAAAATATTATACAGTATCCTAATTGTATATCTATGTACTGTAAAGCGCTTTAGAGTGGCTTATGTTAGCTAGATAGTGCGCTATATCAAATGTTGTGTATTATTATTATTATTACTGGCTAGCTCTGAAAGGCATAACAGGATATCCTGTAATACATAGTTATATGCAATCACAAACACTATGGTTGGTATTTAGTCCTGACCCAGACCCTAGGTGCTGGCTAGCTCTGACTGAGTAAGTCATTTTCACAAAATAAAAGGCATAGCAGGACGTCCTGTAATACGTTGTTGTATGTCACTCATGAACACTATCATTGCTCATTATTTCTGACCTAGCCCCTAGGTACTTGCAAGTTCTGTTTGAGTCACAAGTTTCATTTTTGCGTAGGGAGCGTTAACGCATTATAAACGGAGGATATCTACCCCAGGTTGTCTATGTGTATACCCGCACCATTGAGCCCCCCAATAGTATATGTAGCTACCGGCAGGTGAAGCTCATACACTGTATTTGTTCTGGGCCCAAATTAATGAAACCGTTCTCATGCTCAGACTCTGAATTTGTGCTCAAGCCCGATTCCTGATTCCAGTGATGCAGTAATAAAACTTCACATTTGTCAGTGATTTGGAAGAATTTTGAGGAACTTAAGGTGGATTACAGTTTTCGGTATTTCAACATGACTTTTTGACAAAGTCCCATTCTTGACGCGAGTAACAAAAAACTGGTTTGAGCACAGAATTTATGTTTGAGCATGATAACAGTTTCGTGAATACAGACTGTATTGAGCGTCTAATATACAATATATATGATTTTGAACCAAAGAAAAATAAAAGGTAATGAAAATGAATTATAGTCATATAAACAATAATTACACAGTATTTTGGACATGATACAGTAATAAAGAAAATGTCAGATGCCTACAGATGACCGGCTTGGCAGGGTCACCCATATTTCAGGTCTTAGCCATATGGATTCGCTCATGGCTAACTTAAGTTCCCCAAACGAAGCGTGATTCTTCTTTTTCTTTCGCCAAATTCTTTCTTGTGATTTCCTAAGAAACTACTGGCCAAAAACCTAGAGTGCACATGAGCATTGGTAGACATATGTAGATGTGCATAACGCGTGTCATTTTCCGATAGGTCATCGAACATGGCCGTCGTTGCCTATACTATTGATTGAAACATTTATGAGAGTACGTCAAGGTGATGTCACCAGTCCATCATCTTTTCCGGCTTTTTCTCCAACTTATGTGGTATGTAAGGGTATGATGACAATGCTAATTCATTCCAAAGCATCATTTGCAACTACGTGGGCAATTTTCGGGACTTCGCTACATGTAACGGACGTCCCCGTTATTGTCTACCGGACTTTTTCTCAGAAAATGGCCGATACTTATGGAAGTTCACGTGAACATTAATAGGCATATAGTGCATTGTATATAGATGTGCTTAACGCATTTCATTTTTCGATCGGTCATCAAACTCGTCGTTGCCTATAATCGATTGACATATTTATGAGTGTACGTCAAGGTGGTTTTAAACGGCCCGTCTCTTAGTATTCAAGAGGTTGTTTGAAGGGTTTATGTAATGTTCCCGGTTTCAATTAGAATCTGTTGTAATAGATTATTTTTTTTATACTTTACAACGACCCATGTTGTGCTTTTGCGCTTAATCGCATGTGATGTAAGAATTAAAAGAAATATCATGGCGTCGAGATGGCCCTTCACTTTGAATATACTTAAGGGCAGCTTTCTATTTCGGCCAGATTATGAGGTGATAACTCGCGGAGCACGAGTAAATTTATCATAGATGGCGAATATTTCTTTTGTTTCAAATAATTTTCTGTAAATGTAATATATCGCTATTTATGTTTTGTTGAGATCGGGGCACACAAAATCCATAATGAAAACTTATTAATGAGTGGTATGTTCAATAAAAGTAACAGCCTTAAACTATCATAAGTCTTGGTTAACTCCGCCCACATTTACTATTGTTGACGTCACATAATTGTGTCTCGTTCGCGGAAAATTTGCATAGATCCGCCTAAATGTGTTGTCGTTAACATCATGGCAACTTGCTACGTTCTATGGTCAGGTAATTATATGATAATTCCAGTTTACGGGAATAGTGGCTATTTAGTGAATATCAGTTTAAACTGTAAATGTATTGTAATAGATATGAAATCAAAATAGCATCGCTTTGGACTGGTTATAGTCCAAAAATGAACAGCACACATTTCCATCTTTGCTATATTTTCTGATACTGGAAACAGATATTTGACGTTTGTAATTCATCTTGAATCAAATTCGAAAAGCTAGCATATAGAAATGATCTTACCATGTACATGTGCGTTATAATATTAATAGGTTATCCATGAAAACAGAGCAAATAAACAATTAAACATCATTATACAGGTTTCCTTTAATTATTTCCGATTCATAAATTACACAAACAGCTAATTTTAAACTCACAAATTCATTGCATACATTTTGAAAATTTCATACCAGTAATGTTGAAAAACAATGATTCCATTTTAGTTTCAATCAGCAACTAATCGAATTCACTTGCATATTTGTTTCCTTAAGCACTTTTTGAATTCTGTATTACTTCCACATTACGTCAACACTTCCGGAACAAACTGTTGTTTCCATTACAATACAAGGTACATCCCCAAGGTGGCTTGAAGGACTGGCCAGTCTTCATAACCCTCCCCAAATACGTACATCCCTTATCCTCCTCCTCCTCGGGTTTGTTGCTTTTAACAGATCGAGGTACTTCAGTGGGCTCAGGAATCGCTACCTGGTGGTTGGGAAGTTTTGATTCTGGCTTTTCTTCCGGTTGAGGCGGAAGCTCTTGTTTCGGCGTTTTCGTTGTAGGAAGCGTGGAACTGCTCCACACGGTTGACCCTTTTTCAACGGAAGATTCAGGTTCCGGAGAAGAGGAAGGTCCATAAGTACTGAACGTTGGCTTTGTGTCTCGAGACGTCGTAGAGGAAGTTAATGTTGACGTGGTGTCAGTGTTATCTGATCGTTTCCTGTTTAACGCTGAGTTGGGGTAATTGTAACTCACGTCCGGTAGCTGATCAGCACCCGACGTGCCTCTCCAAGATCCAAGTGATTGTGCAACGTTGACAGAATGCTTAACCTGGTAGGCATAGGTTTCCTTTGATGACCATGACTTGGAATCGCCATGATTGGATCCTGCTCTCGACAGGAATTCGAGTTGATTG